CCCGTTACACTTGACTATCATATTTCTCTCACTCACAAAAGATAAGACCCAATTTCTAATATTACCCGGAAGACCTATGTCTTGAAGTTTACGGCAAAGAAACTCGGGACACACCATATCAAAGGCTTTGGATAAGTCGAAAAATAAAGATAGAACACACTTGTTTTTGTTTATTCCATCATGTATGTGGCTTAGTAAGTGATACGAAGCTGTCTCGATAGATTTGTTTCTCCGAAATCCGTATTGGGAATCAGACAGTATATTATTATATTTCACAATTGTTACTTTTTTAGTGCTTGTGAAAAAATTTGTTATACAAATCTTATGTACCCCCTTTTAGGGGCTGTATCTTAACAATGAAATTTCTTTATATGAAAGATCCTATCTTTTTCTCGATGAGAAATCACCTCCTTAAATGTTTTACACTTATACAGTTACACCCTGTATTTTTTTCATTCAAGCTAACCCTGGATGTGGCATCTATTTCATGGTGGGCCTACCAACTGCCTATCATAAACGAATGCGTACGCAAAATTTCGTGTCCCTGCTATTTACCGCTGAGGAGATCTTTCGTACGGAGCCGATCCTGGCAGCAGCATCAGGTCACGTTTGTTATTAACATGCATTGTCATCGGTTCTGGACCAGCATGCAAAATTTCAGGTCAATTGGATACCGGGAAGTGGGTCAAATTAAACTTGCAAGATTTGTTAACATAAATACAGGTCAAGTTAAAAAAAAGCTTTTAATATAGCAGGAACAAGCACGATCAGTGTGTTACAGGAAATTCAGGTTTGGAAACCACTATTTGATTACTTTAGGTGAAAATTATATTTCCACACAGGGCGTTTATATGCACCTACAACAGCATAATTTACTGATAAATCTTTACAGACACGTATACTTAATTGAGATGAATAATATTTTTTTGTAAAAATTCGGATAGGTTGCACCCTCTGATTCTGAAACAAATTTTGGGATTACGGACCAGAAAGAAGGTTGGTATGAGACACAAATATATAAATTAAATATAAAATGAAAGAAATGCAGAATGTGACTCACTTTTTCAGTTGGTTTCACCGTGAAATTCAAGTTTTTCAAAATTTTGGGGCCTCCTTCAAAGTAACTCATAGAAGTATCGTCGAAAACAATTTCTCCTTTGAAAGGCCATCCTTTTGGGGGGGATTTTGGATGTTCCGGTTGATAATCTGGAGTGAGCGCTTTATATTCTAGGATTCTCTCAACGGACATCAGTTGAGTGGTTATAGCAGCGGACATGCGCATGGCAAACTGAACCATGAAACTAAGTTGTGTAGATTGTGTTATTGCAAGACCAACACTTCCTCCCGATAGGCCAAGTACTGCGGAAATTCAGAGATATCAGATTCTATTTCTTGAAATAAGACAGTGAAAAATTGTTTATTATTACCATCTGAAAGTCCTACGAAAGAGAAAGTGACGATTGCAACGAACAGTGAGCAGCACATATCCAAAACAAAACCGAATGCAGTCCCGGTTGTGATACTCATGAACCATGCACTAGAATGGTAGTCTTGGGACTGATCGAAATCTTTTTTGAGGAGTTCTTCAGCCTTGAAAGCTCTGATAGTTGTCAATCCTTGCAAGGTGGCATTCAACTGGGTGAAAGCAGGGCTTCGCACTGAAAAAGAAGTCCATGAAAACTAACTGTCAATATGAAATAAACAATGTATCCCTGATAAACCTGATCTTAATATTTGCATATTGTATTGGTATATTAACTATCTTGTGGACATTTTTTCAAAAGTTAACAATTTATATTTGATGATGTGAATCATTTTTCAATTTCCTAAATTTGACGGAGTGAGGAGTAGGTGAGTAGGAAACAAAATGACTTGATGAAAAACTTTCACTTCCATTCAGTAATTTCAAATTGAAAATGAATAACATCACTCATTTCGCTTTTGAGAAAATACAAAATATGTTTTTTTAACGATTGTTTTTTAAGTTATAGGTTATTGATGGGAGTTTATACTGAAACTTCTGACGTAAAATGAATTCAGAACAAGTGTCTTCTTTATTAATCCAGTAACTTTGTCGCCTGAACTATGAGGGAGTATGCATAAAAAAAAACCGCGAAAAATGATTTGCACAGCACCCTCCAGTACTTACAACAGATTTCATTATGTCCATCAGCAGTGGCCTGGATGAAGAATCTAGCTTTAACAGCCACATGGCTCTAGCGATTGGGAGAGAATCGATGCTAAAGATGGTTGCCAGAACTTCCAGGAAGTGAAATTCAAACGTAAAAACAATTGTACGAACTATTATAGTCGAGGTAACTGATATAGTAAACTAGACTAGTCTAGTTGATAAAACCAGACATCACCAGAAGATGGCAAATGAGACTTTGCCGAAACGTTGTGAAAATCTGGGGATAAAATACACAGAACACGGAGCGAAACCCGAGAAAACAGCTCACCATATATACAGGCTGATTCACGGTGGATGGCACATTAGACGTTTTCGGTGAACCAGACAACGGATCACTTTGAAAATTTAATGGAGGGCATATTCAGACATTCTCTAGCCAACTGATATATTTTCGACAATGCGGTGTTGCCGCTTCTATTAGAAAGCAGTAGCAACTTTGATTTTTCAAATGGAACACTCTGTATATAATATTATTTTTGGAATCTCCAACAATTGCCCGACAACTTTTCTTGATATTTCCCTATACCTATCTGTTACCGTTTTCGAAATAAAAATTAATTTCAATTTTTTTCTTCG